GGGTGTATACCCAGGAGTGGGTCTGGAGGTAGATTGATTCCCAATTTTTTGAGGAATCACTATACTGATTTCCATAGTAGCTGTACAAGTTTACACTCCTACCAGCAATGGAAGAGCATTCCCCTTGCTCTACATCTTCTCCAGCATGAGCTGTCAGTTTTGTTATTGATCTTAGCCATTCTGACAGGTATAAGATGGAATCTCAAAGTAGTTTTGATTTGCATTTCCCTGTGGGCTAAGAATGTTGAACATTTCTTTAAGCGTTTCTCAGCCATTTGAGATTCCTCTATTAAGAATTCTCTGTTTAGGTTGGTACCCATTTTTCAATTGGATTATTTTTTTTATAACTAATTTCTTGAGTTCTTTAAATATTTTGGATATTTGGCCTCTATCAGATGTAGAGTTGACAAAAGTCTTTCCCCATTCTGTAGGCTGCCTCTTTGTCTGATAGATGGTGTCTTACAGAAGTTTTTCAGTTTCATGAGGTCCCATTTATTAATTATTGATCTTAGTGCCTACACTACAACTTTACTTTCTTTGACCTCACTTCCTGTCAACTGCCTGGCCTTTCTCTTTTGTGTTACAGGCACTAGAAAGAGTTGTACATCTGCTTGAACTTTGGTGTTTTAAGCTCATGTCAGTAAGAATTTGTCACCTCTTGTGGTTAAAACTTGTGACCTTCATCCCAATGTCCAGTTTAGAGTTTCCTGCTGGTGTATCTCACCCACTGACCACCTCTTCCCTTTGCATACACCCATCCCCTGGCCCCTCCCACTTTGCTGGGTCTCCTCCCCATCCTCTCTGTTAAGCATCATCTCTCTGCTCTGCAAGTTGCTTTCACCTTGAAGTGCCCAGGGCCTCGCCCTTGTTCCTTACTCTACTTCTGCCTGCCCGCAGACTTATTCTTAATCCATCTTACACTTATGACTCCTGCAATAGTTAATACAGATTTTGAACTTGACTAAGGTTCTGGAACTTGAAGTCACTGCCAGGCTTGCCTGGATCGGAAGCCCTGTCATCAGAGGATCTGTCATCAGTGTCCATCTCTGACTCTGACTCCAATGCAACATGCAAATCCTGTATGTCATTCACATGCATGAGATTCTTCACTTTTCCAGATGCTCCTAACACTTTATACATCTTTCATGACTGCTTTTTAAACACTTTTATTTGTAAGGGCAGCAAGTTGACTCAGCAAGAAAAGACATTTTCCAACAAGCCTGACAACCCAAGTTTGATTCCTGGGACCCACATGGACCCACATGAAAGAACTGACTCCTACAAGTTGTCCTCTGCTTCCACACACACACATGCATGGCACACAGGTACCTACACAATACTGTTTTGCATCTATACAACTTTAAAACTCCCTTCTCTGTTACACTAAATATACACACACAGAATAAATTAATATTAAAAATATTGACTATGAACTTAACAGGATATAGATTCACCATACCTCTGGGTATGCCTATAAAGGTGTGTCTTGATTGTTAATTGAAGTGGAAAGCCCCTCTGTAAGTGTGATTGGAACCATCCCATGGGCTGGAGTCCTGGAATGAATTAAAACAGAAGCTCGCTCAGCACCAGCATCTCCCTCTCTGTCCTGAGGGTACAATTGGACCAAAGCCTCCTGCTCCATCACCATGATCTCTCCACCTGGGCCCTGTGAGCTGAAACAACCCACTCTAAGTTGCTTTTGCCAGGTATTCTGTCACAGCAGTGAGAAGAGAAATCAACAAGACTCCCAAATTCATCCACAGCCTCCAGGAGTCCAGGCTCACTATCCAATTGCACCCGCTGCCTGCTTGGCCTTCCCTCTGAGATGCTGAATGCATACGTCACATTGGCCTGAATGTTAAGCTTCCCATAAAACCAAGACTTCTCATCTCTGTGGACCGCAACTCCATCTGCTACGTGGAAAACCCCTGGTGTCGACCTAGATTCCTGTCATCGTCCCATACCCCTGTCCTACTCATCAGTAAATCTGTTAGGTCCGTCCTCCAGCTAGACTGGACATCCTGTTTACTGTCATCTCATTACTCCCTGTGCCAGGGTACAGCCCCACTCATCAGTTCTCTCCAGGATTACTGTGATGACTTCTAACTGGCAGCACTTAGGGGGAGAGATAGACAGATCTCCATGAGTTCCAGGCCAGTGTACTGCATGTAGTGAGGCCATCTTAAAAGAAGAAAGAAGAAGAAGGAGGAGGAACAGGAGGAGGAAGAAAACAACATGATCTAAGGGTAAATTGGGACAGCTGCCAGCAGTGTTTAATTGAAAAAAAGACTACACCTTTTACACTCTATAGTTGCACATAGGATTAAAGGGGAGACAAGGGGCGTGTGAGCTGGGGTGTGGCTTGAGATCAGGGGTAGAGGAATCCAGCATTGACCTTGACAATAGGCACCAGTCATATGTTAATGAAGGGCCACAAGTTCCTCTTGCTAGAGATAAGAAGAATGACTGCTTTATCAAGCAGGAACTTTCCTCAAGCCCCCAAGGGAATGGAGACCCTTTCCAAACGTTTGACCTTGGGAGAAAGACTTCTTCTGGGGAGCAGACACTATACTACAGCTTCTTAGTCTTACTATATGGGAGCTTACTGTTCCCCTCAGAAGGATCCCAAAAGGGAAGGTCCTGATGTCTTACTCTTTTCCCATTATACTGTACCATTCTGATTTCTCTACAACATTTATTAACTGAACTCTTGCCCTTAATGGCCTCAGGCTCTGGAACTGAACTGTAGACAGTTCATCCTTGGGATCAGGTGTGTCTAGTAAATCTCTAACTTTTCCTGTTCTTGGTGTAATTAGGAGAGCATGATGGAATTCCTAGTTCCACAGTGACAGGGATTTTTTTCCAAATAATTATTTTGTTTAGAGAGGCTACCATTGTACACATTTTTATCCTTTACCAAAGCCCACGCAAAATTTCCCAAAGGGAAAATCAATAAAAATAAAAATAAAGCTGGGCGGCGGCGGCGGCGGCAGCACACGCCTTTAAGCCCAGCACTTGGGAGGCAGAGGCAGGCGAATCTTTGTGAATTCGAGACCAGCCTGGTCTACAGAGCTAATTCCAGGGGCAGCTAGGGCTGTTAGACAGAGAAACCCTGTCT